GATGATGTAGCGAACGAAGAGTTGTGCTATTTCTATGGTGCGTGCTGTCGTGTGTGTCGGGATGAAGTGTCCCATTTTGGAGAATTTGTCGATGACGACAAGGATGGCGTCATGACCGCTGGTGGCAGGTGGTAACCCGGTGATGAAATCCAGGCTAACCACTTGCCATGGTTGTTCTGGGACAGGAAGAGGCTGCGGTAGTCCCGCTTTCTTCTGCTTGCTGCTCTTCATCCGTTGACATGCATCACATAAGGTGACAAATTTATGAACATCTTCTGCCAAGTGGGGCCAATAGTAGTGCTTTGCAATACCGGTCAGTGTCTTGTTGCTACCAAAGTATCCTGCGTATAGGACATCGTGGTATTCTTTGAGTAGTAACTGGCATAAAGGAGGGTAATTAGGTACCCAGATCTTTGTTGATCCTTTCCGGTACGCGATATCATTGTCCCACTGTAGCAGGTGTCGCTTCTCTGCCAAGGGAATTTCGGGGTCGATGGTGTTCCCGTGTGTGAAGAGTCCCTTGAGTAGTGGATTCATCCCCTCAACCTAGAGAGCGGTGACGTGTGCAGGCCGGCTAAGAGCGTCTGCGTTGTTTTTGTGGCCGGGCTTGTACACGATGTCGTAATGGAAGTGTGTCTCGAGGATGTCAATCCACCGGACCTGCCACCTGGAAAGGTTTGGTTGTGTCTTCAAATATTTCAGGCTACAGTGGTCGGTGTAGACTGTTGTTTTTCGTCCTTCGAGATACCATCTCCACACTTAGAAGGCGATGACGATAGCAAGAGCCTCTTTGTCGTGTATCGGGTAGTTTAGTTCTGCCCCATGTAGTTTTCTACTGAGGTAGGCGATTGGTTGCAGTCCATTCCCCTGGTCTTGCATCAAGACTGCTCCCACTGCTTGGTCGCTGGCGTCAGCTTCGATGACGTAGTCGTGTTCGGGATATGGCAAGATGAGTACTGGTGCGGACGTGAGTGCTTGTTTCAGCTGCTCCACGGCTTCTTGATGCTTCGGCTCCCATTTATAGGGCGTGTTCTTTTTTAGCAGATTCGTGAGTGGTGCTGCGAGTTTTGCGTACTGTGGCACAAACCTGTTGTAATAAATAGCGAAGCCTAGGAACAGCTGCAACTCCTTCACATTCTTGGGTGTCTTCCACGTGCGTACGGCTTCGATTTTCTTGGGGTCGATGTGAACTCCTTGAGCGCTCACCATGTGTCCTAGGAATTGGACTTTCTTGAGGGCGAATTTGCACTTGGACAGTTTGACGTAGAATCGTTCTCGTCGAAGACTCTCGAAGACGCGTCGCAGGTGTTCGACGTGCTGTTTCAAGTCGCGTGAGTAGATGAGGATGTCGTCCAGGTACACCACCACGCATTCGTCCAAAAGTGGCTGTAGAATATGGTTCATTTCGGCTTGGAACGTTGCCGGTGCGTTGGTGAGTCCGAACAGCATTACCAAATACTCGTACGATCCGTACCGAGTTCGGAAGGCAGTTTTATGGATGGAGTTCTCCGCCATGCGTATCTGCCAGTATCCGGACCGCAGATCCAGTTTGGAAAATACCGTAGCTCCCCGAAGCTGGTCAAGCAGGTCATCGATGCATGGTATCGGATATTTATTCTTGATGGTCTGCTTCTTGAGAGCCCAGTAATCCATGCACATGCACAGGCTTCCGTCCGGTTTCGGGGTGAAGAGCACTGGGGCACCGTATGGCGAAGTGGATGGTTGGATGAGCCCTTTGGCTAGGAGATACTCGATCTGTTTTTTCATGTCGGTCAGCTCAGTAGGGCTGGGCCGGTATGGTGCTCGGAAAGTCGGCTTCGAACCCGGTTCTGTGAGAGTACGACCCCGTTCTATTCTCTCCTTTCCATATTCCCTTTCCATGTCATTCCTCTTTTTATCTCATTCCATTTGGGTTCCTATTTCTCCTTTTCCATTATCCTTTGGTTTACCTTGTTATTTTCATTATATCACCGACCAGGCTCGTGATGTACCGGTGCGCTCTATCTAACGTAATCCTGCCGTAATCCCTTAAAGCCAATAGCCTCGCGTGGCTATACGCAGGGTGATTCTATTTTTTAGAAGGGTCTATTCCCTTAGGATAAGATAAACCTGGTTACCTGATGTACTATAGAAGTATAAAAGCGCCTTGTACTGATCGATAGTGCAACCTTTCCTCGACACATTCGATCTTTTGACACTTGGTAATCACAGCTTTTCTCACTCGGCCGCGCTCAACAAAGCAGCAGCAGCGGGAAAACTTGCCTCGAAAAACCGCCGGGGGCGACCAATTCGACGCCGATTCTGGTAAGCACCAGCTCCGCGCTTTTTCGAATTACCCCACCCGCGCGTGTTTTGAACAGGATGGCAAACTTCAACAACGCCGAAGGTACCCAGCAGCTCTTCGCGAGCATCGCAGCCCTTCAGGAGGAGATGCGAGCGGATCGCGAAGCGTGGCGAAACGAGTTCGAGCGAGTAACTCGACTCGCCGGAGCGCAACACGAAACGACAACGGCGACGACGCAGCAGTCGCAGCAATTTCTCGAGGCTCCCAAACCGCGCCCACCTGAGCTGTTCGATCCGAGCGATCGAAACTCCGAAATCCGCAGATGGATCGCCGGCATGGAGATCTACTTCGCAGCCGTCGGATGGAGCTCGCCAGTCTGGGATGGACAACGCATACAACTCGCAGCGTCGCTGATGCGAGGACCGGCACTCGAGTGGATCGGCGGTAACAGCACCTTCATCCACGGCGAAGCCACGTGGCAGCAGTTCCGCACCGACCTGCTGAAACGTTTCGAGCCGATAAATTCGGGTTTCCTTGCCCGGGAAAAAATTCATCGACATCGACAGTTCGGGAGTGTAGCGCAGTACACGCAGCAGATGGAGGAATTTTATAACCGAATTCCCGACCTGACCGAAGGGGTAAAAGTACAGTCTTACCTCGCCGGGCTAAAGACCGAAGTCAAACGACAAGTGGCAGCGACAAACTACGCGAGCTACAGTGACGTCGTTTCGGCCGCGGAACGCTTCGACATGGTCAACGCCGAGACACGACGGACGCACGTCGGCAGTACACGACAGGGCAACCGCTCGGCTCACCCCACGTTCGCCGACACGATGGAAGTCGGCAGGTTCGAATGGCGGCCACGTCCGAAAAACACCAACTTCACATGTGATTTTTGAGGGATGCCGGGTCATCGAATCTTCGACTGCAACAAAATGAAAGCCGCACGCGCTGAGTATCGGGCACGCAACAGTGGCGGAAATCCTTCGGCCAATCAGAAGCCAAAAAATGGGACTCGCCAGTGATTGCGGATCTAGCTGGTGAAAAAGAAAAAATCCGAAAGCGGCCGCAGACTTCCGGAAAAATCAACTTCGACGCAGCTGATTCGACGCGAACAGGAGAAAATGATGGGAAAAAATCTCCACCCCACGACCAGTCTTTGCCAGAGGAATTCACCGAGGAAAAATCTAACTCCGCGAAAAAGGACTCTGCCGAGACGGGGAAACTCCTTGAAGACCCAAGAAATTATAAGGATTCGTTAAAGTTATCTTATGAAGATGCTTTAATGAAAACTTGTAATTCTTGAGGGGCTAGAGCCTTGGAGAAATTACGGGAGGGACTCCAGAAGAAGCAGAAAATTGTGGAATTTCATACCGGTACCGGAGAACTTGGGGACCAAATTAAGGAGTGTGGAATGAAGCCGACCTTTCCACGGAGTCAACGTCCTCTCCCAACACCAGCCCACAGCGACTACCCGTTCCCCAGGGAAGACGTCGGTGGAGCTGAAGCAGCTCAAAAGGAAGCTGGGGGTCTACAAGAAGCTGCAAAAACCCCGAACTCCTTCTTCGGATGCATCCAACTCGGCAATTTCGTCAACGACACGAACACTCGTCACGGAAACTCCGGGCCCAGGAGAAGAGCCTTTCTCCAAGCAGCCTCGGCCAGCTGCCAGCTCAGGGGTAGATAGCAACGAATATTGGGATGTACCCTATGACCCAATCAATGAAACTATCTTTGGGTACTCCGAGCAACGCCTGCCCCTCGTGCTCGAGGTCATCTGCAAAGGACGACGCCTCCAAGCACTCGTGGACAGTAGAGGATCGCACACCGTATGCGGCTAGGCACCTATCGACCGACTTCGAGAAGAGTACAAGCCATCAGCGTTTTCTGAAACGATGGTGGACGGCAGCAAGTTACTAGTATACGGCGAAGCAGTGCTACACCTACAAATCGGGCCACTGCGCTGGAAACCTGCACTCCCCATCACAAACATCAAAGGGCTTGACGTGATCTTCGGGCGAGACTTCCTAAAACGATTCAACCTTGAGATCAACTCAGTAAACCGCACCGCAAGCATCTACAACAAAGGAAGGAGAGTCCAGCTACCCAACTAGGATGATACAGGAGATATCCCAGTGGAGACACTCGCCAGATTCGAGAAGGACGTCATGATAAATGTGTATTATTCTGTGGTGTAGTTTGCTCTAGCTGGTTGTGGGCTATTGGGTTTTGGGCAAAAGAACTTGGGCTGGTTGGCAAGGTTTGAACTCGTTACCTTACCAACACATACAACCTCAAACCCACTACAACATCTTTGATGTTGCAGTCGCGGCACTTGAGAGTGTTGGGGTTTGGTCTAGGTCAAGGGTTGGTGGTGCTTGACAATCACATACTGCAACTTTTCCAGATCGAACTGCTTCCCTTCTCGTTTTTACTAGGTGATTCATGGCTGCCTAGCCAAATTACCAGAATATCCCCTCACACTGACTTCGTCATAATCGGCGGCTCAGATCTTGGTTATGAACGTGCTTTACCATTCTGGAAAGTAGAGATTAAGACCTTTCCAACGTGTATAAGCTCATTTCTAGAAGTTACCTGAGCTGCACGCAATGTTCTGTTGAGATTGTCAAACTTAATCTCTAATTAGTTCTCTCCAGATTTGCACGATTTCCATCAGTGGTATCAGAGCCACGGTTAGAGGACGTTCTTTCCTCCATTGGAAGAGATCTAGAGAGGCTTGAAGTGCTCCAGATCTAGTGTTTGACATGGCCCAAAAGTTGGATGGCCCTCCTAGGTTTACCGGCTCGGACTTTTCGCTATGGAGGTTCCAGTTCACACTATGGCTAGGTATTAAGGACCTAGAAAGTGTGTTGGATGGATCGGAGAAGCAACCACGAGCTGACTCTGGGGAGGCGTCTACTGGAGCAACCAGCCAAGTGGGATCCGGGGCTGGGGGAGCGTCGTTGAGTGGGGGGAATGAAGGAGGAACCGCTGCAAATCGAACCGGAAGGTCGCAACCAAGTCGCGAGGAGTTGCTCAAAGCTCAAGAAGCATGGGATCGGAAGGATCGCCAGGCATTTCAGTACCTGTGTTGGGCTTTGGAGGGGCAACTTGAGCTTCTTAAGATGCTGATTGACCTGAAGGGGAAGGAAGGTGCAGCAGCTGCAGCTTGGAAAAGAGTGCATGATAGGCACTTGCAGAAAGGGCTTCTAAGCGTGCTTACTTGGCGGAAGCGGTTTTACACCATGGAGCGGAACTCTGGGGAGGGGGAGACCATGGTTCAGTATCTCCAGAGGGTGGATGAGAATGTGAGGGCTTTGGAGGAGCTAGATTACACGGTAGATGAGAAGGAGATCATCTATACTGCACTCCAAGGGTTGGATCAAGCGGCTAATGAGGCATTACTACAGTACCTTCACCTCGAGCAACAGAAATGGACCAAGGTGTGGATTTGGGAGGTTTTAATTTCTGATGAGGCTCGCAAGGTTGATGCTGGAAGAGGCCTAGAAGGAGGCATGGGGGCAGCAGATAAAGCTTCCTTCAGGAAAGGCTATCAACAGCAAGGAGGTGGGGGGAAGAAGAAAGAGTTGGACAAATGCCTTGTGCCCGGATGCAACAAAAAACACTCTTGGAAGAGTTGCTGGAGTAGGCCTGAGGGATGGAAGCCTCACGGCTACTCTGGAGAGGCCCCACCAGTGACCAAACCTGATTGGGTGGAGAAAAGGATGAAGAAGGGGCTCTGGAATAAGAAGGGCAGCAAGGGAGCAACGGCCGCAGCTGCTAAGGATGAGAAGGGGAAGGGCCAAGACGACTCCTCCGATGATGGTTTCTCGTTTCTCATGCTAGGGCAGGATGCATCTCTCACTGGTCGTGCATTGGCTGATCCCAACTTCCTGGTTCTAGACTCTGGAGCAACATCTGGGATGCTTCCTCGCCGTGATCTTTTCACCTCCTACCATCCTCTCCCACCAAACTCTAGGAGAGTGATTGTTGGGAGCGGAGATTTGCTGCAGGCAATTGGCATCGGCACGATCACCATTAAGGGGAAGGAGGGGGAGCTAGTGGGTGTGAAGGGGGTCCTTCACGTCCCTGGTTTGGCTGCAAACCTCCTTTCATGCTCGCAGCTGGCTAAACAGGGATACATCTGCACTTTCACTGAGGGAGGGTGCACTGTTAGAAAGGGTGAAGCTGTGGTGATGGAGGCAAAGCTGGACAAGGGTTTATACCTTGTTCCAGCTTGTGTGCCTAATTGTTACAAGGCACATATGGTTTTTTCTGAGGAAGCCGCTTGTAGCACTCGCTGGAGGCAGGTGGAAACGGTGTCACCTGAGTTGCTACACCTTCGCATGGGGCACGCGGGGAAGCAGCAACTACTTGAGTGTGTGAAGAAGGGGGAGCTGAAGGGGGTGGAGGTCAAGGAAGGAGCTGGGCAGCAGAGAAAATGTCCTGACTGCACATCTGGAAAGCTGCCTAGAACCTCATTCCCTATCTCCTCTGATCATGCCTCGACTCCCCTTGAGCTTGTACACACGGATGTGTGTGGACCGATGCAAACTCCTGACCGGGAAAGGGGCAGCAGGTACTTTGGCACCTTTCTTGATGACTCCAGTCGACTTAGCTGGGTCACCTTGGTGAAGACCAAGGATGAGGTGGCAAAGGTGTTTAAGCGGTGGATACGCTATGTGGAGAGGGAATCAGGGGCCAAGATAAAGGTGTTAAGGTCAGATCGGGGTGGAGAGTACCTTGGGAAAGAACTTCAAATCTTCTTGGAAGAAAAGGGTATTTCCCACCAGCTCTCTGTACCTTACACGCCGCAGCAAAATGGGGCAGCGGAGCGGCTTAACAGGACTTTGACCGATTTGGCTCGGGCCATTCTTGCCCATGCCGAGCTTGATAACACTTGGTGGGGGGCAGCAGTGCAGTATGCCAACTGGGTGAAGAACAGGATGGGCAGCAAGGGGCTTGGAGGCAAGAGCCCATACTCCTTATGGACAGGGAAGGTGCCGAATGTTTCCATGGCACGAGTGTGGGGGTGCATGGCACAGTATAAGGTACCTGACCAGCAAAGGAGGAAGCTAGATCCTAAGGCACAGTGGGGGATCTTCCTTGGGGTTTCTGAGAGGAGCAAGGCTTGGGTGCTATGGAGTGTAGCTGACCAGCGTGTGATGGAGAGCCGTGATGTGATTTTCCATGAGGGGCTGAATTATAAGGGGTGGAAGGAGCGTGGTGCAAGCCATAGTGGGACTTCCAATCAAGACCCTCATACGGCCTCTATCTTTGAGGGGGCATGGGAGGACCCTGGAGATGATGGGGAGGAGCAGCAGGAGGAGCCAGAACCAGCTGATTCTAACCATGAGGAGTCCCGAGAGACAGATTCTACCCCTCAGCCAGCCACGCAGGCCGATGCGCATGATGATCAGCCAGAGCAGCATGTGCCTTCAACTCCATCGAGAAGCAGTTGGCAGCAGTTGTTGAACCAGCAGCTGTCCAAGACTCCAAGGACTCCAATGAAGAGGGTGACTTGGGAGGAGAAGCTGCAGAGGCTGGAAGAAGGAGAGGCAACACCTCTGCGACGCAGTGCTCGAATTTCCCAGCCACCTGAAAGGTTTACCCCGGGGCACATTGCACGCATGCATGATCATCTTGTGTCTGATTTGGATGATTGCATGCTTGTGGACATGCATGGGCATGAGTATGCTCTTGATGTGTGTCTAATGGGTCAGGTACATGAGCCTAGGTCAGTCCACGAGGCGCTGAACCGTCCCGAATGGGTTGAGTCCATGCATGAGGAGCTTGAGTCTCACAAGGTAAATGGATCATTTGAGCTGGTTGATCCAGCAGTGGTACCACCTGGTTTGGAGTTCCTCAGGTGTCAATGGGTTTGGAAATACAAACATAACCCTGATGGTACCGTTGAGAGGCCTAAGTCCAGATTGGTGGTGATGGGAAACATGCAGAAATTGGGAGTACACTATGAAGAAGTCTACTCTCCAGTTGGGAAGCATGCGACCTTGAGAGGTATGCTTGGAATTTCGGCTGCTTTGAAGCTTGACATCCATCATATGGACTTCAAGACAGCCTTCCTCCATGGGGATTTGGAAGAAGAGCTTTACATGCGGCAGCCCCCTGGTTTTGATGATGGGTCTAACCGAGTGTGTCGCCTCAAAAGGTCCATTTATGGGCTGAAGCAAGCCCCACGACAGTGGTACCTGAAATTTGATGAGGCTCTCATGGATTTTGGGTTTGAGAGATCTGAGTGTGACCCTGCCTTGTACCACTTTGTGAGAGATGAGGAGAGGATCTCCTTATTCCTCTATGTGGATGACGTTTTGCTCCTATGCTCTAGTAAGGTTTTGTTAGATCGAGTGAAAGACTTCTTGTCCTTACGTTTTCGCATGAAGGACTTGGGGGAGGTGAAGTACTACTTGGGAATGCAAATTGAGCGTGATGAGAGTGGTATCTTGATTCATCAAGAGAGGTACATTCTTAACATGCTTCAGTCCTTTGGTCTTTCAGAGGCCAACCCCGTGCGTACTCCTCTGCCGACAGGCTTTGATGTGCATGCCTATGAGGATGAACCTTTGCTGCGAGATGAGCTGGTCAAGCTCTACCAAAGCATTGTGGGATCCCTCATGTATGCTTGTACTACCACACAGCCGCAGATTGCATTCGCAGTCTCACAGCTATCTAAGGTCGCCTCTTGTCCTAAACTGTTCCACTTGCAGGCCGCTAAGAGAGTGCTGAGGTACCTGAAAGGTGGTGTCAAGTCAGGTATCTTCTTCCAAACACAGCCCCAATCTCAGGTCCAGCTGGTTGGCTTCAGTGATGCCGACTATGCTGGAGATTCCGCAAGTCGCAAGAGTCACAGTGGGTATGTGTTTTGCCTGAATGGGGCAGCTATCTCTTGGCAGAGCAAGAGGCAGCCCGTGGTGGCACTCTCTACCACTGAGAGTGAGTACATAAGTCTGTGTCAGTGCATTCAGGAGGGTGTGTGGCTGAGGCGTTTGTTTGGGGAGTTTGGCCATGCTCATACTGGTGGTGTGCCTGTGTTTGTGGACAATCAGTCTGCCATTGCCCTTGCACAGAATGCATGCTTGCATGGCCGCACCAAACACATGCAGGTCCGGTGGCATTTCATTCGGGAGATGGTGGCTGCGGGAGAGGTGCTTTTGCAGTGGTGCCCCACCAACTGTCAGGCTGCTGATATCCTTACCAAGGCTCTTCCATTTGAGCGCCATGGTGTGTGCATGACCTTGCTCGGGATGCAGCCCCATGATGACCGGGTTCCCGCAGCAGATGCCGGCGTCTTGGTGCTCCTCTCCTTGGCGGACTCCATGCTCTGGGTGGCCCCAACCCATGGGCAAGGGGGAGTGGTGTGAAGTCTTTTGCCCTATGGTGTTGAGCCACACCCAGCACGAGCAAGGGGGAGTGATAAATGTGTATTATTCTGTGGTGTAGTTTGCTCTAGCTGGTTGTGGGCTATTGGGTTTTGGGCAAAAGGACTTGGGCTGGTTGGCAAGGTTTGAACTCGTTACCTTACCAACACATACAACCTCAAACCCACTACAACATCTTTGATGTTGCAGTCGCGGAACTTGAGAGTGTTGGGGTTTGGTCTAGGGCAAGGGTTGGTGGTGCTTGACAATCACATACTGCAACTTTTCCAGATCGAACTGCTTCCCTTCTCGTTTTTACTAGGTGATTCATGGCTGCCTAGCCAAATTACCAGAATATCCCCTCACACTGATTTCGTCGTAATCGGCGGCTCAGATCTTGGTTATGAACGTGCTTTACCATTCTGGAAAGTAGAGATTAAGACCTTTCCAACGCGTATAAGCTCATTTCTAGAAGTTACCTGAGCTGCACGCAATGTTCTGTTGAGATCGTCAAACTTAATCTCTAATTAGTTCTCTCCAGATTTGCACGATTTCCATCACGTCAAGCGAACCAACACTGGATTCCTGGCGATAGCAACAGAGGTGGAAACCGACGGAGAAAAGACCTCGGAAACTCCAGGAAAAATCAAGGAATTACTGAAGGAGTTCCAAGACATTCTCTCTGACGACCTCCCGGACGAGCTACCGCCATACCGAACGCACCAACATGAGATTGTGGAGGAACCAGGTTCGAAGCTGACCTTCCGAGCACCATATTGGCTCAGCCCCACAGAGCTAGCCGACATGAAGAAGCAGATCGAATATCTCCTCGCCAAAGGACTCATCCGACCATCCACTTCACCATACGGTGCTCCATAACTCTTCACACCGAAACCGGATGGAAGCCTGCGCATGTGCATCGACTACCGAGCTCTCAACAAGCAGACCATCAAGAACAAGTACCCGATTCCACGAATCGATGATCTGCTCGACCAGCTTCGGGGAGCCACGGTATTTTCAAAATTAGATCTGCGGTCCGGATATTGGCAGACAAGAATGGCGGGCGATTCCGTTCACAAAACTGCCTTCCGAACTCGATACGGATCGTATGAGTATCTGGTGATGCCGTTTGGACTCACCAACACACCTGTGACGTTCCAAGCAGAGATGAATCACATCCTATGCCCACTCTAGGACGAATGCGTGGTGGTGTACCTGGACGACATTCTCGTCTACTCGCGCGACATGCAACAACACGTCGGACACTTACAACGCGTCTTCGAGATTCTTCGACGAGAACACTTCTACGTCAAACTATCCAAGAGCGACTTCGCCCTCGAGAAAGTCAAATTTCTCTGACATATTGTAAGCGCTCAAGGAGTTCATGTCGACCCCAAGAAAATTGAAGCCGTGCGTACGTGGAAGACACCCGAGAATGTGAAGGAGTTACAGCAGTTCCTTGACTTCGCTAACTACTACAACAGGTTCGTGCCGCAATACGCGAAAATCGTCACGCCACTCACGAATCTGCTGAAAAATAACATGCCCTACAAATGGGAGCCGAAACACCAGGAAGCCGTGGAGCAGCTGAAGCAAGCACTCACGTCCGCACCAGTACTCAACTTGCCAGACCCCGAACGCGACTACGTCATCGAAGCTGACGCCAGCGACCAGGCAGTGGGAGCAGTCTTGATGCAAGACCAGGGGAATGGACTGCAATCAATCGCCTACCTCAGCAAGAAACTACACGGGGCAGAACTCAACTACCCGATACACGACAAGGAGGCCCTGGCTATCATCATCGCCTTCAAAACGTGGAGATGCTATCTCAAAGGACGCAAGACGACAGTCTACACCGACCATTGCAGCCTAAAATATTTGAAGACGCAACCAAGCCTCTCCAGGCGACAAGTTCGGTGGATCGACTTCCTCGAGACACACTTCCACTACGACATCGTGTACAAGCCTGGCCATAAAAACAAAGCTGATGCGCTTAGCCGGCCTGCACACGTTGCCACTATCCAAGTTGAAGGGATGAATCCACTCCTCAAGGGACTCTTCACACACTGGTACACCATCGACCCCGAAATTCCCTTGGCAGAAAAGCGACATCTGCTCCAGTGGGACCACGACATCGCGTACCAGAAAGGATCAACGAAGATCTGGGTACCTAATTACCCTCCATTGCGCCAGTTACTACTCGAAGAATACCACGACGTCCTGTACGCATGACACTTTGGTAGCAACAAGACGCTCACCGATATCGCCAAACACTACTATTGGCCCCACATGGCAGATGACGTACAGAAATTTGTCACCTCGTGCACTACATGTCAGCGGATGAAGAGCAGCAAACAGAAAAAAGCGGGTCTACTACAGCCTCTCCCTGTCCCGGGACAGCCATGGCAAGTGGTCAGCTTAGACTTCATCACCGGGCTACCAACTACCACAAGCGGTCATGACGCAATCCTCGTCGTCATTGACAAGTTCTCCAAAATGGGACACTTCATCCCAACACACACGACAGCACGCACCGAGGAGATGGCACAACTCTTTGTTCGCTACATCATCTCACAACATGGCATTCCAACCACACTCATCTCCGACCGAGACCCTAAGTTCACCACTAAATTCTGGAAAGAACTGATGTCTCTGCTCGGGACCAAACTCGCCATGTCATCCACCTACTATCCGCAGACAGATGGACAGACCGAGCCCCTCATACAAATTGTGGAGCAACTCCTTCGTGCAGCCTGCAAGGACGAAATCTCCAAATGGGACTTGCATCGGCCCGTTCTGGAGTTTGCCTACAACAATGCCACTCACGCCGCTACGGGTCAGACGCCGTTCTTCCTCTGCTACGGACACCACCCACTCACACCACTGAAACCGACAACAACAGCAACAGTCCAACCGGCACACGACTTCATCACAACCATGCATCAGCTTTGGGATCGGACCCACAAGCGCCTCATCGACATCTAGCAGCAACAGAAGCGCCAGGCCGATCGCCACCGCACGGACCACACCATCATTGTGGGAGATCGAGTCCTACTCCACACACGCAATCTTGACATCAGCCATCTCCCATCCAAACTGCGACCTCGCTTCTGCGGGCCCTTTCTCGTTGAAGCACAGGTCACTCCTGTTACCTTCCGCTTATGCCTGCCAGCTACCTGGAAGATTCACAATGCCTTCCATGTCCAACTCTTGAAGCCCTACCGAGATCCCAACGCGATCTTCTCTGGACGCCAACCGCCGCCGCCGCCGCCCGTCCTCGTCCATGATGAACCTGAGTACGAGGTCGAGTCCGTGCTTGCTCACCGCCGTCGACGGAATGGCACCGTGGAGCTTCTCATCCGTTGGAAGGGTTATGATCCTTCAGAGGACAGCTGGGTCTCTGAATCCGAGATGGACCACGATCGTCGTCCTCTTCGCGACTACCTTGTCAAGCAGGGTATCACGTCTACCACCCAGCTTTGAGGGGGGGAAGTGAGAGTACGACCCTGTTCCATTCTCTCCTTTCCATATTCCCTTTCCATTTCATTCCTCTTTTTATCTCATTCCATTTGGGTTCCTATTTCTCCTTTTCCATTACCCTTTGGTTTATCCTGTTATTTTCATTATATCACCGACCAGGCTCGGGATGTACTGGTGCGCTCTATCTAGCGTAATCTTGCCGTAATCCCTTAAAGCCAATAGCCTTGCGTGGCTATACGCAGGGTGATTCTATTTTCTAGAAAGGTCTATTCCCTTGGGATAAGATAAACCTGGTTACCAGATGTACTCTGGAAGTATAAAAGCGCCTTGTACTGATCGATAGTGCAACCTTTCCTCGACAAATTCGATCCTGTGACAGGTTCCTCCACGATCTCGTGTTGATGCGTTCGGTATGGCGGCAGCTTGTTCGGAAGATCGTCGAGAAGGATGTCCTGGAACTCCTTCAATAACTCTTTGATTTTTTGTGGAGGTTCCGAGTTTTCCTCTCCGTCGTTTTCCACTTCTGTTGCTATCGCTAGGAACCGGTGTCGGTTTGCTTCATGTCCTTCTCGAATCGTGCGAGTGTCTCCACTGGGATATCTTTTGTATCATCCCAGTTAGGTAGCTGTACTCTCCTTCCATTGGTGTAGATACTTGCGGTATGGTTCACCCAGTTGATCTCGGGGTTGAATCTTTTTAGGAAGTCTCGCCCAAAGATCAAGTCAAACCCTTTGATGTTGGTGATGGGGAGTGCAGGTCTCCAGCGCAGTGGTCCAATTTGTAGGTGTAACACTTCTTCGCTGTGTACTGCTAACTTGCTTCCGTCCACCATCGTTGCAAAGATTCCTGAAGGCTTGTACTCTTCCCGAAGTCGGTCGATTACTGCGTTGTCGCAGACGGTGTGCGATGCTCCGCTGTCCACGAATGCTTGGAGGCGTCGTCCTTTGCAGATGACCTCGAGCACGAGGGGCGGGCGTCGCTCGGAGTACCCAAAGATAGTTTCATTAATAGGGTCATAGGGTACATCCCAATATTCCGTACATACCTTTTGGTTGCTATCTACTCCTGAGATGGCAGTTGGCCGAGGCTGCTTGGAGAACAGCTCTTCTCCAGGGCCCGGAGTTTCTTTGACGACTGTGCGCGTCATTGATGCCGAAGTTGCTGAACTGGATGCATCCGAAGGAGGAGTTCGGGGTTTTTGTAGCTTCTTGTAGACCCCCAGCTTCCTCTTGAGCTGCTTCAGCTCCACTGACGTCTTCCCTGGGGAACAGGTAGTCGTTGTGGGCTGGTGTTGGGAGAGGACGTTGACTCTGTGGAAAGGTCGGCTTCTTTCCACATTCCTTAATTTTTTCCCCAAGTTGTCCGGTACCGGTATAATCTCCACAGCTTTCTGCTTCTTCTGGAGTCCCTCCCGAATTTTCTCCAAGGCTCTAGCCCCTCGAGAATCATAGGTTTTCATTAAAGCATCTTTATAGGATAAATTTAACGAATCCTTATAAATTCTTGGGACTTCAAGGAGTTTCCCCGTCTCGGCAGTGTCTTTTTTCGCAGAGTCGGATTTTTTCTCGGCGATTTTCGCTGCAAAGACTGGTCG